ATGCTTAGTGTGAGGGATTGCTGAAGAGTCAATGAGTCGATGCAATCAGCTGGTTTTCCTTAGATAGAAACTTTGAATCAATCTGACTGGATGATCTGGTTGATGTGGATCTATAAAGTGACCTGAGATGACATGATGTGAATTGGAGCTCTAGAAATAAAGTGAATAGAATGCATACAGCTGCAAGCGATAGATGAAAGCAACAAGAACTCTTCAAAGCGAGCAGCAGTTAGTAACTGACTCTGCTGCCGCTGGGTTCCACCCACAGGACTGAAGCCCTGCTGAGCCTCAGCCTCTTGTTCCCACCGCTTCTCGGCTCTCAGATGTTCGCGCCGCACTGCTCTGAAAACAAGATGTCTCTCTCACTGATACGTGCGGTGACCTTTCCTCCGTTTCTCCTCCTTCTCTGCTCAGGATCCAGCAGGAGGTTCCCAGCAAGGCGGTGCTGGAGCAGGAGATGGTGTGGATGAAGGAACATCTCTCCATGCTGGGTTCCCCCGTGGTGCTCTGCCACAACGACCTGCTCTGCAAGAACATTATACATAACAGCAAAGAGGGTAGGTGACCCTCCTTCCCCTCACCTCGCCACGCAGGCTGCTGCATGCTAAACACTCAAAGGGAAATAAAACTACTGAAGTTTTTAAGTATGGTTCGTTGAAAGATGATTATTGGTTGTTTTTTTTATGTTGCTGGTTTCCCGCCCATTTGATGACATCACAGTAGAGCTGCGGCTGCATGACGTCATTTCTGTCTAATCAGTGAGGCTGAACATTATTAAGGAGCATTAGGATCAAGTTATTAAAGGAAAAGTCCGTTCATCATATTCCTAAAACTAATACGTTCACAGATTTAATCTATTTAGCGTTAATCACAAAAAAATTAAAAGAATAATTTTAATCGCGATCACTGAGTCTGGCAGATGTTGGGAAAAAAAAGACATTAGAGGGTGAAGAAGTTTTAAAACTTCTAGGCAGGATTTAATGGAATCTTCTATTTAAATGGAATCAACAAAACAACCAGAAAAGTATTTTAAAATTCTTTATTTTCTCTTTAAATATAACTTTTAGGTTTGGCCTAACAAATAAAAACGAATGTTCTATTAAATAAACAGAAAAAAGTCCAGAAAACGGTTGAATAGTTTTACCGTACAGACTGGGCCAGAAGGGGCCTCCTGGAGGAAACGGTGATAGCCGATCGTTTTCCAGGACGGAGAGGAACTGATGCTCAGAGACCAGAGAATCACTCACATGTCACCAAATTTTCAAATATTTATAAGATACTTCAAAGCTTAAAAGCTTAATTCTGGATGATTTAAGTCTTTTAAAGAATGGGGAGGGGTTAAGATAAAAACTACCGTCATAAAGTGATGTTTTATCTTCAGACTGACTGAATGTCTGAGGGATTAAATTATTGATCTAATCCAGTAATGATTCAGACACCAGGCAGCAATGAAAATGTTTTGGTTTTTTAATGCATTTCATCTTAATTTAGGGGTTCCACGGGTCGTTAAAATCTTTAAGTCATTAAGTTATTATTTTTTAAATGAAGGCCTTGATTGGCATTAAAGTTCATTAAACGTGATTATTCCTGGCATTTAAAATGCTTTAATTTTAAAGAAAGTTTATAGAAAACTATTTCATCAGATCTAACTGGTTTGGTGTGTTTGTGAGAAACTGCTTCCGATTGATCGTAAAGCCGTTTATTCCGAAAAGAAGCTCGAGGCGGAGAAACAGCTAGAGAACAGGAAAATGCTCATTTAAAAAAAAGTGGCTGGAAAAACGAGGATTTTTAAAATAATTTCTAAAAACATTTAAAATTCACGGTTTATTTTCTCTCCTTCTTGTTTAATGACTGAAAAAAGACTGTTGTGGTCTTTCAGGTCACGTTCGCTTCATAGACTACGAATATTCCAGCTACAACTATCAGGCCTTCGACATCGGAAACCACTTCAACGAGTTTGCAGGTGAGTGATTTGTTTGTAATGTGGTTTAAGGCTGATGGATTATTGCCCAGCTGTTGGCGTCTGTGTGCGATCAGGCATGGCTGAGCTGGACTACGGCCTCTACCCCAGCCAGGAGATGCAGATGGACTGGCTGAAGGAGTACCTGCAGGCGTACAAGCTGTTCACCAAGAAGACGGAGGAGGTCAGCCAGCGGGAGCTGGAGACGCTCTACGTTCAGGTCAACAAGTTTGCTCTGGTGAGAACAAACCGCCTCTTTCCCCCCCAGATTAACGCGCCGTCACCATCTGATGTCTGATGTTTCTCCCTGAAGGCTTCTCACTTCTTCTGGGGCTTCTGGGCTCTGATCCAGGCCAAATACTCCTCCATCCACTTCGACTTCCTTGGGTACGTTCTAATGGTTTTAAATAAACATGTTATGTGGCTGAAAATGACAGAGTGTAGCTTTAAGTTTCCCAGTTTCACCGTATTATGAATCCTACGGAAGAGGATTAGGGCCACTAGGAAATAAATTAAAAAGTTAAATAATTTTTTCAATATGGGAAAATTCAGAGATTTCTCTCTATATTCTATAAATATTGGAATGATTCCCTTCATCCTACTGATGCTGCAGCTGATCAACCTGAACGCTGATTAGTTTATTCAGTAGAAACAGCATGAAGGGAAACCTGGATCTCCATGAACAGCCCAGGTGTGGCGACATGCTGCCACCTATAGGTCTGGAGTGAGAAAGTCAGTGATAGAAAGAACGGCCTGTTTTTATAAAGACACTCAGTCATTCACTCACACACTGATGGTGGGGAGCTGCATTAAAGCCACGGCTGCCCTGCGGATCACTGACAGGCTGCCGTACGCCGGCGCCACCATCTGACCACCATGAGGGTGAAGATGGCCGCTCACACTGAGCCTGGTTCTGCTGGAGGTTTCTTCCTGTTCAAAGTGAGTTTTTCCTCTCCACTTTCGCTACAAGCATGCTTAGTGTGAGGGATTGCTGAAGAGTCAATGAGTCGATGCAATCAGCTGGTTTTCCTTAGATAGAAAACTTTGGATCAATCTGACTGGATGATCTGGTTGATGTGGATCTGGAAAGTGACCTGAGATGACATGATGTGAATTGGAGCTGTAGAAATAAACTGAATAGAACTGAAAGCCAGAGCTTGATCTGAATACTCCTCCATGTGACGCCACCGTCAGGCCGGTTATGGCGCTGCACCTGTAACAGTAGGTTATTTGTTAGATGGTGTTTTATGATGGACTGACCTTCAGCTCCTCTGATTGGATCGTTTCGCCGCCATAACGGAGCATCTTTGTCTCCTCCAGGTACGCCGTGCTGCGCTTCAACCAGTACTTCAAGATCAAACCTTCAGTGATGGCTCTTCAGATTCCCGAGTGAGAGGAGGTCAGGGCTGCGGCGGCTGAAGGCCCGGAGACGTTCCGCCGCCCAGCCGCCGCCGCCGTACCGCCGCTCTGTCCGTCTGCCGGGCCGCCTTCCTTCATAAAAGCGTGATTACTCCTATTCCTGCAAACGTACCTGGACTTGCCCGGCGCCTGCAGCTCGCTGTGATCCCATTGGTTCAGGCTCAGCGGGGGTCACTGACTCCACCCCTCAATGAAGCGGGGGGGCAGAGACGGACTTTAGCTTTAGGAGCGTTTGGCCAAGAATTCCCTACATGTGAACCATCCCGTCACCGTAGCAACCTGTGAGGAGGAGGAGCTAAATGTTTGGTCTAGTTTTTATGGCGGGCCTCTTCACCCCCTCAGGGTAACGCCTCCTGCTTCTGCTTCACTCTGATCTCCTTTCAGCTTCCTGGATTCAGACAAACATGGCGTCGCTGTCGGCGAGGAGCGTGTTTGAGCCTCTGAATGTTGAAAAACATCCCAGGAAAATTGTTTGCTTCTGATCTCTGACTTTTTTTCTCCTCTTCTTCTAAATCTAAACGCTTATCAGTCAGATTTAAAATCAGACGGTTTCACCTTCTTGTCTTATTGAATCGTTTTGAAGCCGTAAACCTGAAGCTTTAGTTCTTATTTCACTGAATGATCCAGTTCCCGGTGGAGCCGGCGCCAGTGAGCAGCTGGCGTCACATTGCAGACGGGTTAAATAATGGAGCAGACATGCTAACGGATGCTAATGCCTTTCATCCAGGGAGCAGCTGATGTTGCTGCTTCCTCTCCACCATCCAGCTGAAGCGTTTAAACCACAGCGACACGTTTGGGAGCAGAGAAGCACTTTTAGACGGAGGCTAAATGAATACAATAACTGTTTAAATGCACAATCACGGTTCAACTTGAAGGAAAAGGCCCTTTGCACTGTAGAAGCACTAACAGACCCTCACCTGCTGACGCACCTTTATAGAGCAAACATGGCTGCAGAGGCGTTTCCACTGAGAACGGCGCGTCTCCTTAACCTGAATTAGTTTGCTGTAGTTTGGATCCACGGCGGTTCAGAGGAAGTTTCTTTCCCAGCGTCGGTGTCTGCAGGCGGTTTGCGTAACATTCCCTCCTCTAGAGCAGCAGCTCTGCTTCTAAAGCTCTTTATTTATTGAGTGACTAACTTTTTTCTATTGTTTCTCTAATGACATCTAAATAGTTCAGGCTTCAGCTTCATTGAGTTGCTGTTTATTTAAGGTTGCTTTGTTTCAGCGTGTGAATGTACTAATGTTCTAGTTTGCCGTTCTTTACTTTTTGTAAAGGAGGTTTCCTTTCCTGGGACTTTGTAAATGTGACGGAGGATGTAAATACTGTAACAAATACTGTGAAAAGTTTCCTGTACAGTGATTCTCCGCAGCCTGCAGAAGTAAAAAGAATAATTTAACAGTTGCCAGTAAAATATTTCAATTAAAGACTAAAGTGATTTTAAAAGGTTTGGGTGTCTGTTTGTGTTTGCTGACCTGCTTCCTGTGCAGCTGATGACAGATGGCTCAGAGCCGACCACCAGTCGTTTATTGCAGACGGCTTGTGCAGACGTGGGAAGAACCTGGAGAGTGAGATAGGTCATCCCAGCTGCACCATTGCTGGGGAGAATGAAGACCCAGTAACCCCATTCTGCTGCCCGCTGTGCGTCTGGACGCCACGGCCCGCCAAAGGTCATGGATGAAGAAAAGGATGGAAGGTACCAGGATGCAAAGGGACCCTAAAGCCTAAAATGGGATTTCCACCTGTTTCACCAGCTGTTGCTCCTCCAGGTTCCATAGAGAATAATACGACGGAGTGTCAGGGCCACGCTAGAGACTTTTTATTCCTTCTATTACGAGAATAAAGTTTTATTTTATATCATCTCTTCCAAGAATCCCTTTCTTCCCTAAAGTGAGGAATGTGGAGCATCATGTGAAGTTCTACTTTAGCATCGGTTTGACAAATCAGGAAATCTTTTAGCAGCAGCATCAAACTGGGCAGGATGTCAAAGTGGACTCTGGATGCTGATTGGTGGAGCTGGTCGGACGTCATCTGCTGGGTGGAGCTCCAAGCTTTCTTTCTGGAACGGGTTTTTGTTTGATGACTTTATCCTCGAAATAGAAATAAATCTCTATCTAACCACAGGGAGACTTGTTCATAAACACACTGCAGCTGATCTTTAACCCGCTCACTCAGAAATACTTGCAGTAAAACTTCTTCTATTGCATTTATGGCTCATTTGTTCTTCATTCCACTTCATCAGAAAACCTTGGTAACTGCTCTCATAGCATGTTTTTGACCTGAAGCAACAAAACATTGGGGGGGTGAGGTGAGTGATATGTTATAATGCCCAAGATCCCAAAAACTAACCCCCCCCACCCCCCCACCCCCAAAAATAAAGAAACATGCCATAGAGGGTTAATGAGGCACCGTTAGCTGGATTCTACCACTGATCTCTACTTATTCACTGGATTGCTGATTGAAGTACAGCCACTGGCAGCCATATTGGTACTCCCTAGTCAGACCGGTCAGAATGTAAACAATCGGTGCGCTACAGCATCAAACAGCTATGATGTTCTCATTTTCAGGGACTGAAGACTTTTAAAATAAAGATAAATTCATCAGTTTGACACAGACTGGCTGCTTCATAGCATCAGTAGATTAACTTTAACTTAGAATTTAATAAAATAGGCCCATCAGATTGCAGAGTCATTATGATGTCTATTAATCATGTAATATAACATATTATACAAATCCATCATGATAAAATGAATGTGTTAATGGAGCAGAATAATACTGATGAGCCAAGAGGGCTAAACGGATGATGTTCCTGTAAAACACATGGATTTGTTATTTTTTTAATATAATTTCAAGATTTTACATCAAGACTGAATTACAAATTCATGTCTGTTAATGCTGAAGTATTTTCCTATCTGCAGATTGTGCATGATGCCATATACTGTTATGTTGTGTCTGTGCATTAGCCTTTAAAAATGTTTAAGTTGCTTTTTTTCCCATCATCAATATAACATGCAGCATATTTCAGCTCATGACTTTTAAAAATCAAAAATGCAGAAAACGATACATGAACGACATCATCATCCACTGAATAACGAATTCCTACATTAAATTTCTCAGTGAATTACTTTCTATTTCCTCTACTTTCTATTTTCTAACGTTAGACCCAATGTCAGCGTCTAACTCAGTCAATGTCTTCCAGTCATTCTGAGATAGCCAGACTAATGTTAGTCTACAGACTAAACTATAGGATCCATCGGCTATAGATGGATTTATTGCTTAGCTCATCCACTGACTGGGAAATGACCAGAGGAACGTCTTCCTGCAGACAGAAAACTGCTGGTTTCTGCAGCTAAATGCTGCACAGGGAGGCATTTTACTGAGCATCTCTGTGGGAGTGGGGAGTACCAAGATGGCGGCTTCACTTTTTGCAGGCAATCCAGTGAATAAATAGAGATCAGTGGACTCTACTAGCTGGAACAGTCCAACTGTCCCTCTGTAGAGAAGGTAACCTTTAAGGTTTGAGACATTAAGCTGCAAACTGAAGACGCTGCTGTCAAACACCGTTACTCTGCTCTGCAAAGACGGATCTATAAAAAGGAAAAACATCTTTTAATGAGTCTTTGTCCCTCATTTGATCAGTTAAATAAAATGCTCTTCCAATGGTAAGACTTTTTCCCCCCCTTAAAATAATGACACATTTTATGCACATGAAATAATTTCTTGTCTTGTTTTAAAAGTAAATATTCTTACTTCATTGGCAAACATGGGGAAAAAAAACATTTATTTAAAGAAAAAGCAAAAGCTAATATTTTATTTTGTTGCCTGTTTAACGAGCTAAGAGGCTGAAAACAGAAAAGGCAGTTTTAGCTTTATAACTTTAGACGCTGAAATTTCCAACCTTTAGATGAAAAATCTATGAAATTCTAAACTTTAGTGTGTCATAAAAATGTGAACTTTACATTTAATTAATGAGTAAACTTCTGTTAGAAATAGTTTCTGCTTTTACATGAATTGATCAGTGCAGTGAAGATGAATCTGGATCTAAAAGACATTTCAGAAAAGCCCAAATCTGTCTTCCTTTATTACAGCCTTTAAATTACATCATTTACCAACAATATTTCAAATATATTTCATGATATAAAATAAATTTGCTGCCATGAGAAAAACTTTTTTTTTTAATAGTACTGCTTGTTGATATGTATGAATAATTTCTGGGTTATTACTTTAATAAAGTCTTTACCGTAATAAGTGGACTAACTGTTCCAAATCTTGCTGTTTATGGAAAGTTAAGTAATTTGTAGATTTTATAGCAAAAAGTTGAGGGATAAGATGAAAGAACAGTCAGTCTGTACGATAAAACTATTCAACTGTTTTCTGGACTTTTTTCTGTTTATTTAATAGAACATTAGTTTTTATTTGTTAGGCCAAACCTAAAAGTTATATTTAAAGAGAAAATAAAATAAAGGATTTTAAAGTGCTTTTTTGGTTGTTTTGTTGATTTCATTTACATATAAGATTCTCTTAAATCCTGCCTAGAAGTTTTAAAACTTCTTCACCCCCCCCCCCCCAATGTCTTTTTAACCACATCTGCTACTGAGAAATCTAATGTCCAAATATATCTGCTCTGAATTAAAGGATAAGACATTTGAATTGATTTCTCTATGATTGTTTACTGAGTTAATCTAAGAACATTAAGAGGTTCTGGGGTTTGCCCAGATATAATAGCCCCTCCCTCCTGCCATCTTCCAGCAGTGACGTCACGGTGCGGTAA